TCCCGCGTCCAGCCCCGCTCTCCCCACCTTGTAAAACAAAGCCGGGGAAAATGCCTGCCCGTGCAGCTCGGAGCGCGCAGCCCGTCTCTGAATAAGAAGTGAGTACAATGGCGTGTTTGTAAAAAAAAAGCTTCAAGTCCGTCTTTTTCAAAAAACATTTTGAATGCTGCATGCCTCATGCTTCCCAGCGCCTCGCGGGAGAGACCCGGCTATAGAGCAGGAGGTGAGACCCCCCCTCCGGTACCCCCACCCTTCTGGCCGCAAGCTCTCCTGCCCCAGCCTGTTCTGGGAGGACTGCAAATGCCCCCTCTCAGCAAGCGGCAGTTTCCCATCTTCGCTTCGCGTCCAAAGTGTTGGGTCATAATCTGGATTTGGAGGCAAACCCTTGCCAGATCCTCTCCTCGCCGCGTCTCCCCCTTCTCCCGCCGGTGCCCGGGGTTTTTGCATCTGCCTGAGGTATGGGTTTGGAACACCTTGGGGGAGTTTCCCATGGAGAAGGAGGGTCAGCCCTTGGGAGTAGCGGACAGGCAGGACTCATGGTGACCCTGGTCACACTTGTTGCCCATTGCCTGGTGGGACAGGCAGTGGTGCTGAAAAAAGCTTGTTTCCCCTGCTATTCAGTGGTCAGTCACAGCTGGAGCGAAGACATATCTGGGTGAGAACAGAAGACCGGGATTAACAGAAGACTGTGATGAACTGGGGGAGGGGAGTGGGTAGTGACGGTGTTGAGTGTGTGTGGAAGGGGCAGCTTCTCTCCCTGATCATACATCAAATGGCGTGGAGGTGGAAACCAAGAGGTTCCCTGTATTAAAGAGAAAAGTCTGCTTTTATTTTTTTAAATATTATTTTGGTATTTCATCAGTTTTTGTCCATTCTGTCTGCCAAATGTACATTACATATATTTCTGCTAATTAAAAAATAAGGCAACAGCTTAAAAGAATTGAACTCCTTCTGGAAATGTATTAGGTTAATGCACAGACACACACACACACACACACACACACAATATTTTAAAAATACCTGCCGCTTTCTCCCAAAAGCATATAATGGCAATGTGGCAATGTCTTAAAGGAATTTCAGATTGGGATTTGGTGACATCAAGGTAAACAGTCTTAGTGCTTTCTGGTTCTGCAGAGTGGAAACCACTGATGTGAAAAATCACAAATAGGAGAGCACAGAGATCTGAGGAGGAGAGGCTTGGAAAGCTTCATTTAGAGTGATACTGTGGAACTTCTATGTAATTTTTTGTTGTTTTTATTCCAAAGATGGCTAAATTTTAAATTATGACTTTTGTTTTTCACTCAGACTCACTAAGCAGCTAGGAGGTTGTGGGGAGTCTGCAGATTGTAGTGATTTTAGCTATTATCAGCACTTCTATTTTAACAGTTTTTTAAAATTATAGTATTTAACACATGTCCAGTGCTAATTTTGAGTGAAGGTGTCTTTATAAATATTTTAAAGGTGTCTACTAGCTGTGGCTTTATTTGGAACAGGTGAATGTATCAGGAGAGAAACATGTGCATTCTTCTGTGTAGTAGGTTGAACCTTAGGAAATTGCTGTAATAAACTATATGTACATGGAGTCTCCACTTGGAGCCATGGGTACAGAAACCTCACAGCTCTAATTTCATTTCTTCCAAATCAGATCCATTCAGAGCTTTGCTGATTGAGGATCCTGCCTTCTGCCATCATTTTACAACACTACTTAGGTCTAGTGTTTTAAATAGCTTTGTTTGCAAAGCTTCTTTTTGATGGGCAATTAGAGATGTGTTTTATAAATTAAAACTATGGTAGCCTACATTTAACTCACAGTGTTCGGTAAGAGGGCAGGGTAGGCAGCCATGTGAAAATTGGCATTTTTTATTAGCTTCTCATACTGAAGTAATTTCAGGTGGCTGTAGGGTATTTGAGTGCAATTCCATGGAGATTTCTTATATACTTACCTGAAAGTGTGTTTTAGATAAGATTATCATTTTATAATTTTTATTATATACATGATAGCAAGTTAACTGAAATCTGTAACAATTATGGACTTTAAGTTGATTATTCTGTTTGAGTTGATGGTTTTTAGAAGTCTTATTTTTCGGCCATTCTATTAACCCTTTTTAGTTGAATGTTGTCTTTCAGTAAAATGTCCTGTAGTAGATGGTTTATTTTCCTCTTAGCAAGTAGAAGTCTAGTATCTCTTATATTTTTGAAAAAGAAATCCATTAATGATATTTTTGAACATCTGTGATAAATAATAAATGGATTTATAGTCACCTCAGAGTATATGGCAATTTGTAAGAGAACCATATAAATCCACTCTAATGGAGCAATTAGCTTTGAACAGAGCATGTAGAGAGTCTAAGCTGTGAGCCATGGTTTTTTTTTTTTTTTTTTCCTTGATACTGTTCACATTTGAAAAGGAAGGTACTTGTCTTCTCTTGGTTGTGTCTAGGATTGACACAATGATTAGCAGTAACTTTTATTTGTAAAACAGGTCAGAGATTGAAAAACAAAATACAGAGAATGTTTCATCACGAGCCCACTTTGGAGGATGGGCAAAAAGACAAGATTTGACCATCGAGTGGTTTATTTACCACCATGTTTTACCAGAAAATGATGAATGATTTATTTTGAGCAACAATGTTTGGATCACAAATTCTCTTATAATGCAATTCATTTATTGTAATAAATTAAATAGAGAATGTTCTTTATATTGCTTGCTTGTGGTATAAATTTCTTGAGAACGAGAATAACCGTGAACCATCTTCCTGAATATTCCAATATCTAGTTATAGATACTGGATAAATTTCTTGAGAACGGAAATAACCGTGAGCCGTCTTCCTGAATATTCCATCAACTTTTAGGAGTTCAGTATCTCTTTGTGGACTGGACAAATGTAAAGTCCACAGTGGACAGATGTAAATTTAGAAATTTATTAAGAAGCCCTGAGGCATTCTTTTCTTTTTTTGAAGTTTCTTGGTTCGACTCCAGTTTTTTCCCTTTTATTTGAAACTCTAGTAGCAGCAGAGAGCACAGATCCAGCCCCTTTTCCTTGAACCAATATATGTGGTCCTGAGATCTAGTGACAGCACTCCTGGTTTGGGTTCCAGAGCTTCCACCAGGAGAGCCAGCGGAATTCAGTCAACCTTCTCTGACCCCTTAAAGAAGAAGCCCGACCAATTCCCTTCTCATCTCCTCCAACCTAACCCTCATTCTCTGTTGTTGTCAGTGGCGGCACCTGACTTGCTGGATCCTAAATCTGCCGCTCAGAACTCCAAACCGAGGCTCTCGTTTTCCACGAAACCCACAGTGCTTGCTTCCCGGGTGGAGAGTGACACGACCATTAATGTTATGAAATGGAAGACAGTCTCCACGATATTCCTGGTGGTTGTCCTCTACCTGATCATCGGAGCCACCGTGTTCAAAGCATTGGAGCAGCCTCATGAGATTTCACAGAGGACCACCATTGTGATCCAGAAGCAAACATTCATATCCCAACATTCCTGTGTCAATTCGACAGAGCTGGACGAACTCATTCAGGTAATGGCATGGGAGGAGTTGTTACTCCGTTCCCCCAAATGGGAAAGAAAGTGATAGGAGACAACTTGTAGCCCAGTGTATTACGGGTGTGCTGGTGGGAGCCCTATCCCACCTCGTTTGCCTTAACATATAGCTCTTTCCCCCAGTTTCTTTGTCTCATTTCCACTTCTTCTGCCTATACTCTCACTTCTGTCATCTTTTCTTCTCTTCCTCTTTTAGTTCTCTCTCCCAGTGTTCCTTCACATCCTCTTCTGCTTCTGTTCTTCTGTATTTCTTTCCTGTTGTCTTTCCGCTTTCTTTCCCTTTCCCCTGTCTTAGAAGTACCAGTGGACACCCATAGGGTTGGGGTTACCATGCCGAAGGTCCTCATGGTTAGGATGATCATTGTCAACTGAGAAACACTGCTGTGGCAAAGGAGAGGGAAACAAAATATACAGAAATGTGCTTTAATCTTGGCAGTGGCCATCATAAGATAGAAAAGATGAATTCATGATGTGACCCTCTTGAGATGAGTACCCCTTAGGTCAACAAGTTGTAGCTTACCTCTTTAGCCAAGGTGTAACTTTGACAACTACCTTTTTAAAGTATCTGCAGATAAGTGATTAATTATTGCTTCTCTAACTCCCAGCTAAGATAAATTTACTACTACACAGAAAAAGAGTTTTTGAATAAAACTAATTTAGTTCTAATTTACCCTATAATAGCGAACAATATCCTTACAGAAAAACATTTTGTTTTAAAAATTAATCCCAATAAGTTTCAGTTAGGCTCTTTAGAGATGACAGTATTTTGTTTTTTGTAGATTTCTTTTGCATAAAACAATTCATTGATCAAATCAGGATCTTAGTCAAGAAGAAAGCTTTAGAATTTTCTCACAAGGAGTGACTTGACTGGTTGTTAAAAATGTTTTAATTGTATACACATTTCTTTTCCTATAGAGCCTACTTTTCTTACCTGATTTAATTCAAATTGGAATGGAAATTATCTGTGAGACATCATCTGAGCATGTTCTTTCTTGTTTCATATTTGGTTTTACATTGTTTGAATGAGTTGGAATAGTGGATTGAGGGGAGAAATTATTGTTGACTTTAATCCTGCTTTTTGTTTGAGGACCCTTTCTCTCATTTCCTCTTGCCTTGAATCTCAAGATGCTATCTCTGTCCTTCACAGTCCTCTCAATTTACAGCATATGCATACATGTTCTTATTCAAATTTTATTGAAAGATATCAAAACTAGTGTTCTCTAGCACCTATTTAGTTTCTACCACATTCAGAAATTTCTGCATCTGAAAATTTGATTTAAGTTTTGAAAATGCTGTTCACTTATATACTGAATTCTCTAGGATTTTTAGATGATGGTGACCTTTTCAGTATTGACAGTGAAAGTACCAGCTAACATTATTGTCCCAACTGCCCCCTTCCCTGGTCCCATGTAAGATCACTTTCACTTCATTCTCTCGTTGGGCCACATAGTCCTATGAGGTACTAAAAATCTCTGAAGAATCCTCACTTCCCTTGGTTTCTGAAGAAGAGCTCTTGGATATCTTGGTGGAGGCAGCATGGTGCAGTAGTAAAAGCTTCAACTTTGGGAGCAGACAGGATGTGTGTTGAACTGCAGTTGAGTGTTTTATTGGAAGTGTCATCTTAAACAAGTAGTTTTCCTCTTTAATCCTTAAATGATCTATCTGGAATGAGGAAAGAGTATCTATCAAGTAGGGTTGTTGTGAGGTAAAGAGATAATCCATGTAAAGTGTTTTGGTGCTCAGAAAGTGTTAGATTTGTTTTTTGTGGTTATTGTTTTCCTCTCTTGTCCCTTCATTGGATTGTAGCCTCTGATTCATGTAGTTGCATTCTTATCACCTGGAATGATTTGCTGATTGGACAGGACGGGGGAAAAAAAAAAAGACATCACCAGCGTTTCAGGACAACACTGGAAGAAATTTTGTGTGAATTTGAAAATGGTCTCACTATCCAGTATTACCCAGATTTATTAAGAATTCTAAAGATAACTTGAAGGTCATGGCAGGTAGGAGCAATCTGGTGGTGAATACTGACCACTTTTTGCTACATCGTCTTTGAAATGGAAACAAGCAGAAATCAAAATATGACCTAAGATTTTTCTCTATGCTCTGCATGGGCAATCCATTTTAACTTTATTAATTTTCTCTGTTGATTATTTTTGCTTTGTAAAAATCTTTTTTATGCTGAGTCAATATTTTTCAACGCAGAAATTACCTATTATTTACTCTTATACTGTTCACCTTTATAACCCATTGGTTTTAATAATTATTTTTTCTTTTTCAACATAATTTATTTTGATAAAAGAAATCTTTACAATGCCATGGCTTCAAGGATCAAGATTAGTGTGTAAACAGGGAGGAAGTTAAATAAGCCAGTAATCATATATTGGAATTACACTTCCTTCATATGATTCTTATAAATTTTCCAATCTTTTCTTTCACATTTATTTTCCCATGTAATCATCGCTTAAAACCTCATGAGTGTGTCTATTGGGCAGCAATACCACAACATTAAGGATTAGACAGCATCATTCGGATGAGAGTTCAGGTCTTCAGAATCTTTTGGTCAGGCATTTTTCCTAGGAGTCTTTGCTCTTTTGGAGCTCATCTACTTTCAGTGCTGAGGGCAGAAACAGTTGGAGTAGTTAGCATTTCAGTTCTAGTGTTGTTGAAGAAATTCTGCTACATATTATGGTGAGTGAAGACAGAGGAGGAAGTGAGTGGTCTGACAGTGGGCCAATATCAGGTGCAGTTAGTCTAGTCTGGTCTCAGGCACTAGGTTATTAATTACTCCTCTGGTTGGACTATAGCAACTTGATTTCATGCTGTAGTTGTGTCTCAGGGTGAGGTTGGGGAGGTGTGGGAAGATATAGGTAATGGAGCATTAAGGCAGATGAGATCAACTGCTTTTGTTGTAGAAACATGTGTGTATGTACTAAGTGTTGTTTTTGGCACTGGACTTTCAAGACAAGGTTGGGGAGGGGCAAAGATATCAAAACAGATACCTTTGCCAGCCTGACGTGTTTTGAGCATATGATTTTCAACTCCCATTACATTTAAACTTATGTGATGTCAGTACAGAAACATATATGGCAAATTGTTTAAATTTCTTTCTTTTTTCTTTTTGAGACAATGTTTCCCTCTTGTTGCCCAGGCTAGAGTGCAATAGCGTGATCTCAGCTCACTGCAACCTCTGCCTCGTGGGTTCAAGTGATTCTCCTACCTCAGCCTCCCGAGTAGCTGGGATTGCAGGCATGTGCCACCACGCCCAGCTAATTTCATATTTTTAGTAGAGATGGGGTTTCTCCATGTTGGTCAGGCTGGTCTCGAACTCCCGACCTCAGGTGATCTACATGCCTCAGCCTCCCAAAGTGCTGAGATTACAGACGTGAGCCACTGCGCCCCACCTGTTTAAATTTTAAGAGCCCTGGATACCATTAACAATAGCCAAAATTTAATTAGCACTTACTTTGTGCAAGGCATTATTCTAACTGTTTACCTATATTATCTCATATAACTCTCTTAAACAATCCTAAGTGGTAGGTGCCTTATTATCTGCTTTTACCTTATAGGGACACTGAAGCAAGGGGCACTTCAGTTTCCAAGAGTGCGTGGTGGAAGAACTGTCATTCAAATCTTTGGATAAAATCTAGAACTTAGTTCTGGTATTGACTGCTTTTAAAAATAATTTAGTAAACATTTGATGTAAAGTTTCCTGTTATTCCATATGTTAAGGTATAATGGATATTATAGTTCTCTGTACATATAGCATATCTTTCTTTCCAAATTGAAAAGTATATAAACTGGAATCTTAAAATTCTTTCTGGATGACAGGATTATATCAGTATTTTCCCATTTAAATGTGGCAAACCAGTAGAGGATGGTCACATTAGACATATCTGGTCTTCATTTATTTCCATGTGAGCTGAATAAATTATAGGGTTAAAAAATAGAGTGAAATCTATGATCTATATGTTGACAATATAAATATCTTATAGGACACTTGACCTTTTTGTTTTCTAACTTGAACCCCACTCCTTCTTGAGCTAGGTTGGGAAGATATTGTCTGTTTTGGGGTGAAGAAACTCACATGTTTGGACAAGGTCATCTGGTGGCCTCAGGTCTAGATCTTCAAAGTCTTCCTGCTGAAGGGATTATCTTCTCTTTACACTAGGCATCTCATTTTGGTTCATCCAGTGGCATTTATTGAGGACCTCCAATGTGTTTACCTCAATGGTGGGTGTTGAGCCATTTAAGATGATGGAAAAAAAATATGGCTTCTCTCAAGCTCTCCTTTCTACATGTCAATCAAAGGAGATAGCTATCAACATAGGCACAATAGCATTACCATAGAAATACTTACAGACTGGAGCTGGAATCCCTAAATATTGGGACCCTGAGGAAGAAATTAAGCGTTTAGTGAGAGGAAGGTACAAAAGATGTGAAAGGAAACTTGATTTTAAGGTGCTTCAGAGTGCTCTAGGGGAAGACGAGGGGGACTAGTGGACATTCTAAGCAGAACGGGTATGGTATACTCCAGTAACTGAATATCTGGGTGTGAGGGGCAGGGGCATGAACAGGTTTAACAAAGTAGACCGCAGAGCATTGTTCCATACCAGGGAGGTGGGCTTTATCCTAGGTCTACTCCTCCACCTGGTGTCAGTTTTGTGGGCACTTGGCTGTGTAGCAGAGGATACTTGGAGCTACAGGATAAATAAACATGCCTTCTCTAGAATACCAGTGATAGTGGCCTTCAAAAACCAAACAAAACATTGTTTTATATTAATTCTATAATCATTCATTCATTCATTCAAAAACATTTGTTGAATGCCTACTGTGTACATTGTCCTAAGTGCTGAAAGACAGTGGAGAATAACATCAGATGAAAATTTGTACCATCAGTGAGTTTACATTTGCTGGGGAAGGTAATATGTTTGATAAAGTAAGTTTCAGGAGAAAAAATAAAGCAGTGGAGAGGGC